ATTTTCCCAGAATTCTTTGTGATTTCTAGGACTTTTGAACATTTGGGGGCTGTGGATCCACTGTTTATTGAGTTAAGTTTCGAAGTTGGAGTTATTTGCTAGTTCCTAAAATCAAATGCGCATGCTAACAGTATGCTAACAGCATGCTAGCAAACTTTAGCGCGCTAACAGCCTGTTACGGTGCAATTTTTCTGTAATGAACAAACTAATCCTCAGTTCCCCCGACACACACCCTCCTATGACCAGAGAAACCGAGATTATCATCATTTTGTGTGATAATTCATTCAGTTTTTGCCAATTAGCGTGACTTTGATCACCCCTCTGGACCAGTTATGTAACCAGATGAAAGCATTTTTTCCCTCTAAAAACAAGATTCTGCTCCTGCCAATAAGTCTTAAAATGGACAAAAAAACAAAAAGTATCAATTAACACTAAATTACAGCAGACTTATTGAAGTATGGATAACTTTAATAAAGCTAAAAATGCCGGGAAACTCACTCCTTCAAGGATTTTTCCAACTACGGAAGAAAATCTTCAGGATTTCAGACTTTTTCATGATTTTTTTATTTAAACTGAGCACTACTTCTGGGAAAAAAGGGGGAAATTATATATCAATGTGTTGGTCGGGTTGAATAAAAATGAGGAAAAAGTCGATATATAGTTATTTTTTCCGCCTTTATGCCCCAAAAACCCACAGACACAGGAGAACATGCAGACTCCACCCAGAAAGGTCCTGGTTCCCCCGGGACTCCAACCCAGAACCCTCTGGTCCTGGTTCCAGGTTCTTCACAAAATTGGAGCTCCTAGGTAATACTTGATCATATTTATCCAACAGATTCCAGTGTGTTCATGTAAATGAAGACTAGAGTAGGAGATGGTTTCATTACACTGATGATACTCAGTTATACCTATCTAAGAACTTTGAGAGTATCATTTTAAAAGTTTATGGTACTACCTATGACTTCAATTTTATTGGCTTCTGACACAGCATGATGCGGCCACCACCTGCTTGTGAAAAATAGTTAAGGGAAACAGGAAATGTCTAACATTTGTTAACGTCTAAGGGACATTAACAAATGTTCCTCAACAAATCCATCTATCAGCCCACGTTCCTTCTTTTTATAGATGAATTGACAATATGAAATATAGGAACATGATTTAAGTTTGGGGTGTAAGTCTGACATTTTAGGTTATTACCATAGATGGCTAGCTAGATAGCTAGAAAGATAGATAGCCAAATAGCTAGCTAGATAGCTATATAGCTAGATAGTAAGATAGCTAGCTAGCCAAATAGCTAGCTAGATAGCTAGATGGCAAGATAGCTAGATAGCCAAATAGCTAGCTAGCTAGCTAGACTGATAGATAGATAGATAGATAGATAGATAGATAGATAGATAGATAGATAGATAGATAGATAGATAGATAGATAGATAGATAGATGAAATACTTTTCAGCTCTGTGCTGCCGAGGTATGCAGAGCTGAAATGTTGAGGCTGCCTCTTTATAAAATATCAAAAATATTCAAAGCTTAAGGTGGAAAAAA